TGACAATAGTAATTGCCACTTTGTTTTGGGACAAATTCTGTTTTTTCTTTTTTAACCCAATTCAAGGGCAAAATTTTTTTTATTGTATCTTTATGTCATACATTGTAGCCTATATTCATCTATTATTCATCGTTCCAATTCACACACAGTAATTCAAATGATGCATCAAGATTTATGATGAAATTAAGCTTACAATCCAAATAGAAGTTATGAATCAAAACAAATAGAGGTTAACAATCCAAATAGAAGTTAAAGTTTCAAACCAAATGAAAATTGAAACTAAACTTCAAGAAGTAAAATTCATCGATCAATTCTTCAAGTTTGAGATGTCGAAGCTTTTGGAGGAGGCATTGAACTTGTAGAAGATTGAGCTTGTGTCAAGCCTACGTTACAAACAAAGAAAACATATTAATAGCAAGAAGAATTAAAGTTGAAAACCATTTAATAAAAAAATTAAAGCATATCTTACTTGTTTCCACTTCTTCCATTTCCTTGTAAAATTGAAGCATATCTTTCGTTGGTTTCTTATAGAAGTTTATTGCATCCGCCCTAAGCCAATCACAAGTACACACTAGTGCCTCTACCATTTTAGGAGTCAAGGATGCCCTAAAAGGGTCCACAACCCTCATCCCTAGGCTAAATGCATTTTCACTAGCAACGGTAGAAGTGGGGATTGCAAAGATATCCTTGGCTATTTGTGAAAGAATTGGGAACTCTTTTATGTTTGATTTCCACCAATTCAAGAGATTAAAGCCACCAACAACAATGCTAATATAAGGAGCGGCAAAGTACTTATCAACTTCATTGGATATCTCTAAAAGGCGTTGCTCCCTCCTTTCTTGTATAAGCTCCTTCATCATTTCAATTTTACTCTCATCACCCCCACAAGCTTGAATTATGTACTCCTCATTTAGTTCCACATCTCCCAATGGAGTCCCAATGGTAGTAGAAGAACCCCTCCTATACTCATTATACAAATCCAGCAAGCATTTTTTAATCTCTTTAAGCATCCAAGCTATCTTTCTATCATCCCATCCAAGTGTTTTGAGGCTAATGGTAATCATTTGAACTTTATAACAAGGGTCTAGAACTTGGCCAAGAAACATAGGTGGGTTCACATTCTCAAAACTTCCCCAATACTTGTTAAATTTATGCATCGTTGTAGTAGCCACCCTTTGCAATGTAGGATTGGTAGGATCTTTCTTTTTCTTCTCAATCTCTATTTGTAAAGCAACCACTTGATCCCATAGCAAAGTTGATGTAACATGTTTTGTTGCACTAAGCTTCAAAGTAGAATCATGAAACTTCTTAAGAAAGAGCGTAAAGGCTAGTGATTTCTCCCAATCCTCCTCATCCGGATGCTCCACTCTTTTCCAAATTCTTCTTTGAATCCATCTCCATTTCTTCAAAATAATCACGAAATTGCACATTCTCCTCTACCATCCTAAGAAACACCTTCCTAAACTTGTATGCAACGTCAAGCATTTTACATGTTGCATTCCACTTTGTAGACACATCAAAAGACACATTTGACATCTTGTCCATCTTGAATAAGATAGCAAAATCCCTAAACTTATCCAATCTAGCCAGTGAAGAATGAATGTACTTGACACAATTTTGAATCCCCTCAACCGACTTAGCAAGCTCCTTTAACCCACTCTTGACAACTAAATTTAAGATGTGACTAGAACGCCTCATATGTATGTACTTCCCACCAACCAAGGGAAAATTCATTTCCCTAGCCTCTTTTTCATGTAGTAAACTGCAACATCATTGGCGGAAGCATTATCAACAATAATGCTAAAGATCTTCTCTATCCCCCATTGGTTCAAACACCCCGTTAGAACTTTCCCAATGTCTTTTCCCTTATGACCCGTGATCTTTATGAAGTTTATGATCCGTTTGTACAACTTCTATTCACTATCCATGAAGTGAGCAGTAACTACCATGTAGTTAATGTTTTGTACCGATGTCCAAGTATCGGTTGTGATACTTACTCTTTGATTATGCATTGCTTCAAATAACTTAGACTTCTCCAACACATATAAATCCCACACACCGGCCGCAATCTTCTTTCTATTTGGAATCTTGAACCAAGGTTGAGCCTCTTTCATCATATCAATGTACCCACTACCTTCAACTACCTTAAATTGTCCCCCACACCTTTAACTCAAGTTTATTTTGGTTAAAGGTGTGGGGGACCAATCCACCGCCCATAGACTTATTTGTTAAGACTGGTGGATTATTATCCGCTTTGATATAAAGAGGTGAGCCTTTACAAGCTTTTCTAAGGTGATGTCCTATGCTTGATGTCCCATTTTTCCCGGGATCGGCCGGAACCTTTTTTTTGCAATATGAGCAAATTGCAAGGTAATGTATTTCCCCTTACTCAATGTTCTTTTCACTCTCTTAGCATGTAACCAACACTCCGATCGCAACCCACTTACATCTTCATATTTATTGGGCACATCTCTCTTACCACTTCCCACACTTTCATCCCTTTCTCCTTGATTTTGTTGTTGAGGTTGTATTTAAGTGTTTGGGGTTGAGGTTGGTGTTGGGGTTGGGGTTCAGTGGTGGAAGGTGTACTGGTAGTAGAGCCACACAGAGATTGGCTTGTCCTAGATTTCTTCTTGACCTAATACCGAAATAAAATACAACATTATATTGTATACACATCTTATCCAAATATAGTAGAAGCTATTCGTATACACATCATACCAAAAACAACACCCATTCCAATTGTATCAATTAAAAAGCAAATAAAAAACAAGTCATGATCAAAGTAATTAATTAAAGTTGTTCAAAGTAAGCAGAATCATGCATCGCCTTTAGAAATGTCATGATTAAAGTAAGCAATTGGATTTTGGGAAAAGGAAATTCCATCTCCCTGTATTTATCTCACTTTTATATATGAAATGAATCAAATGATAGTAGGCACACTGCATGCATCCCACATAGCTCCAAATCTCACACTTTTCTGTCACACACATACACACCTAGCTAAAGCTAATCCCTCCTCCCTTCACATTTCACACCCAAAACCTCCAATCTAAACCCAACAAAGCAAATTATACAAACCCAGCAACCCAAAAGCAGAAAAGCATAGAAGAAAAAAAGATATGCATCATTGACAAGTGATAACTCGATCAAAAGGTCATGCAATTCCTAATCGATTGAGTCTAATTCCATTTAACAAATCAATTACAAATCCCCAATTTATCAATTTAGGGTTTCTCATTTTTTTTAATTTTTTTATCTTACTCTAGAGAACTAACCTTGATAGACGGAGTCACGAGAGAGACGAAGATGAGATGGATGAGACTCTTTGATGGAAGTGTTCGATGGGAGAATCTGAGATGGGTGGGTGATTTCTTTGTCTCCAACATAGAGAATAGAAGTAGAAAGGCTGAAATGAGAGAGAGTGAGTAGTTTGTGACTTTGTGTCTGTAGGTTTTTATTTTCAAATTATTAGAATATTATAAATATGTGTTCTATAATTTATAAATTATATATTATATTACATTTTCGATACAGTATGGTAATACCATGGTAATGGTATCCATTACCAATACAGTACCATGAAATTTCGGTATGGTACAATACTGTACCATTACCGATTGGCACAAAATCGATATGGCACAGTTGGCATGGCAATTTGGCAAAAAAAATCCACCCCGAAGACCAAACTTGCAAAGCAAGGGAACAATAAGGAAAATAGCGGGATTACCTTCTTGGAACCTGACCGAGGCCCTGAGGTCTGAAGCAAATGGCCCGTAATGGAAAAGATAAAACCTGAAAGGATGTTCCGGAGGAATAATTGAGTATCATTAGTTTTCATATCAGTATCTAGTAGCTATGTGAAGTTCATATTACGTAAATGTCTTACCATGTCCATGATGGGGGCTCCGAAAAATAGTACAATAAAACCTAGAGCAGTTCTTCAGTGTAGCATTTAACGTATAATTATATCAGCAATTGGAATTTTCAAGTAAGAGAAAGCTTCAAAAAAGAACAAAGGTCTCTGAAATACACAGGGACAAAATAAACTTCAATGGAAGTAAACCCGGTATAATAACGCTAAATCTCATCAAAAAAATGTCAAGCAGAGAATTCCAATCTCAAGAAAGGTAAATTTTTTAGAATCCTTCAGACATTAAAAATTTAGTATTGTTAAGTAAGCTGTTGAAATGTTAATACTTTCTTAACATGGGTGGTCTCAGGAATTTGGTACGAAACTACTAATTGATGAATAACATATTAGTGAAAGGGGTACCTTCGACCTTCATACGTTGGCTTTTCTTGGTTTTTTCCTGATCAAGACATTAGGCGGTTGATAGGGTACGTTGTTTGTTTCTCTTTTCTCATTTGGTTTTGTGTTCTGTTTGTTTCTTTCATTTGTAATCGGAACATGACAGAGCAAACCAAAATGTTCCAGCTAATAATCACTTTGTAGCTTGCCTTGTTATCTCAGCACCCAATGTCATGGAAACTCTGGAAAGGTTTAGTATATTTTGTCGTTTGTAATCTAAACTTTGATACTCTATGGTGACGTCATCGGAGCGTGTAAGATTTCTCTGTGCTCTCTTCCTTGTTCTAGTGTAATCTATCTCCTCATAATGTCAAATCAAGTGTTTGGTGCCATCATCGGAGTGTGTAAGATTGCTCTCCGTTCTCTTCCTTTCGGTCTTGGTTTTTTTAGTTACTTGTTTGTATTTTCGTTCAGGAGAAATAATAGTGATTTGTTACTGGTGTTCTATTGACAGGTATTGGTGTCGTGCTCTTGGGTGAGATCTCATCTCTCTCTCTCTCTCTCTCATCCCTACATTCCCATGCTTTCCCATTCTGATGGTATTGTCAATTTGATTCGTTCTTACTGCTGTTCCTTTCTGTTTTGATTCTAAGTAGCATGTCGTGAATTCATACATTTTGCAGTAATCATTGTCATCATTGTTGTGGCATACAAGAAAATAAGAAAGGAAGGTAGAAGTCCTGTTAATATGGAAAGAGCGAAAACCATCAGGTTTGATGCTCAACAACTTCCGACTATAGCAAATAGTTTTACCAACTTGTTAGGTTCGGGAGGTAGAAGTTCCGTTAATCTGGAATTTCACATGTTCCTAAATGATATGGATAGAGAGGAACCCATCAGATTTGATGCTCAACAACTTCAGACTGCAACACATAATTTTACCAACTTGTTAGGTTCGGGAGGTTTTGGTGCAGTTTATAAAGGGATATTTGGCAATGGAGTCCTTGTCGCTGTGAAGGTTCTAAATGGGAGCTCGGACAAGAGAATTGAGGAACAACTCAAGGCGGAAGTTATAACTGTTGGAAGAGTTCATCGTGTCAATCTGGTCTGTCTTTATGGTTACTGCTTTGAGAGAATCCTCAGAGCACTGGTTTATGAGTATATGGAAAATGGTTCGCTTGACAAGCTCTTATTCAATAGCAATGAGGCTTTAATATTTGAAAAGCTTCATGAAATTTCGGTTGGGATAGCCATAGGCATTGCGTACTTGCATGAAGAATGCCAACAACGCATAATCCATTATAATATAAAGCCTGGAAATGTTCTTTTGGATCAAAATTTCCTTCCTAAAGTTGCCGATTTTGGTTTGGCCACCGGAACTTTGGCTACAATTTTCTGTAACACCCAAATGTGACGTCTACAGCTTTGGGATGCTATTGTTTGAGATCATTGGTAGGAGAAAGAACCATGACATCAATCTTCCTGATAGCCAAGAGTGGTTCCCAGGTTTGGTGTGGAAGAAGTTTGAATCCAAAGAGCTAGGAGAGTTAATGGTAGCTTGTGGGATAGACGAAAAAGATAAAGAGATAGCAGAGAGAATGGTAAACGTAGCTCTGTGGTGTACTCAGTATAGGCCTGAGTCGAGGCCTTCAATGAGCGTTGTGGTAAAAATGTTGGAAGGAGATATTGAGATTCCCAGACCTACAACTAACCCTTTTCAGCACTTTGATTCCAGGCATCTCATACCCTAATGCACCTATCTACAATTCTTCAGTTGCAACAAATAGTACTTGCGCTTTGGATTCAGAGTTCTCCCATACTGTAACTGGATATAGCGGTGTGTGCGCTACTCCTCTCATGAGGAAATACGAGCTAGAAATAGCGTCTACCTAGGTAAGCCGATGTAAATCCCTCATGCTCTCTCTCTCTCTCTCTCTCTCTCTGTCTATATATATATATATGTTGTGAAGGGTCATATATTTGCAATTGTGAACAATAATTAATACAAAGTGTGCCAACTTTTTGTTTGATTAATATACAGTTACTCTATTCTTTCTACAAGGAGCTGCATAAACCTTTTCTGATTAGTTTCATGGAAAAGTACCTTCTTTGGCCTATAAATTATATGGGACAGAAAACTGGTGTAGCCATGTCGATTTTTATTTTCTTCCAATCATACTCATTTCACTGACAAATGGTTGCTGAATTACATGACCAAAGAAAAAACTGACTGCACTGACTTGGATTGACTGGAGTTAATCATGCTCGTTGCTCAATGTGAAGCATGATTTTTCTGCTATAAATAGCAAATGCCCGCAAAATTTCACACCTGATTTTGTAAATTTGATCTTATCAATGATAATTATCAGCTACTCTGTAATTGTGGCAGGTGCGTGCTTTTCTAGCATATATGAATTCTAGCTGGTATCCTGGGAAGCTTTCATCCTCTCTAAATCCCGGAAGCTAGCTTTCGTCAATTCGAATCAGAACTATGTTCTTGTGTTTCAATATTCTGAGGGGGCAGGTTGTTGTATTCTAAAGATTCATGTTGGATGCCATGATTTATTACATGACAGCCTTTTTAAGTTCAAATTAACCGTAAAGAAATTAACAGAGATGAATTGATCTACAAGTTTGGAAGGTTAAATTGATTCAAATTAAACTTTGGGAAAATACAGTTTGAAAATCTCTCACTCGAGCATCCCGAATAGGTCATGCCATCGAGCGTAATACTATTCTTGCCATGAGTTCTTTGAAATGCAGTGCTTGAGGCCTTAGGATGAAAAAAATTAGTTATTAGCTTGGAGGTTCGAGATCCTCTTCACCAAAAAAGTTCTTTAATGTTTTAACCTAACCAAGCTGCAAGCGTACTTTGGTGTCTCCTTCAACCCCAACCTATACCTCATCCTGCTCGCTAAGCAGCAGCGACGGTTCTACCATTTGCTTCTTAGATACGAACCATCTGCAATTGCGAGGCTGTGAGAGGCCGGGTGGCCTACCTGTGGATTGTCAGTCAACCGGCCTCTCACGAACAATGTTGCCTCCCTTGTCAGAAAAATGGACATTTACATTCAAGGTTGGCAATCTTACCCGTAATTCAGTAGATTTCTTTTATGAAAGCGTGATCTAAATTGACAGAACGATAATATCTTAGGATTTATTTCTGTATCCGTAAGGGCTTAGATTATGACTTTGCATTTTATATGCAGTCAAAATCGTAAAGAACAAAGGCATCCACCTAAGAGTCCATTTGAAGTTTAGCAATTGTCGTAATGCTCTAACTTATTCGTTCATCCTTTTCTCCACCTTGCCGTTAGACATCATCATCGCGAAAACCCCACAGGGTTTTAGTACTAACAAGATTCAGACTAGTCATTCAAGGTTTAGCAAAGTAAACATAATCATACTAGAAACAGGGAAGGTATAAAATGGGAAACTAATGTACACGATAGGAAACGCATAAGCGATGACCTGAAGAAAATAGCCTTAAAATCTGTATCAGGTACACGATATTTCAGTCTCCATTTTCTCATCAGGGGACGGGTGAGAGTCAAACTCTCACTCCAGTGGGAACTGGCTCATGCCATGAGTTTCTCGAAATGCATGCTGTGCTTCGTTGGGTGTCTCCGGTATATATCAACCTAAACTCTGACTCTGACCTTAGGATGAGCCCTAGAACTTGGACCAAGAAAACCTCTTTGTGCGGGTTGACCAAGAAAATCTGTATGATGGTTTTCCACCTAGGACATTTCCTTGTAACGAGACTAGGCCGTTCGTCATTGGCAATGTTTCCTTATCGCTGGATAGTCGAGAGGGAGATTCTGTCTGTTTGCTCATATACAGCCAAGAAAGGATACAGAGCAAGGTTTTGGATCTTTTAATATGGTCTTTATGCTCTCTTATTTAAGTTTATTTTTAGCCGGCCTCCTTATCTCATCCTCGTCAAGAAAAACCCCACACGCTTTCATTATTCGTATATCCATGGAATAATGGGAAATTAAGGATAACATTGACATATAAAATGTAACGGAGACTTCACCAAACTTTGACTGTTCTTTTGTACTTAATCCTTCTCTCTAATGTTATCTTCTCATGTGTAATTATCTGAATTCTGCTATTAGTCTCTTGTACATTTGAGAGTTTGTTGAATGCTTTTCATAACTCTATTGAAATCGGTCTCCCTCCTCTCTTAATGTCGAGTTACCAGAGTCCACCGTCACCTTCAAATTCTGGAGAGACAGCAGTTATTGTTGTTAGCTTGGGTAAAGATATATCTCACTCCGCGTTTCCTTTCTTTTTCGCATTACTTTTTTTTTTTTTTTCTGAAGTTGATAATGGTTTTTCATCAATGAGTTCTGATTTTTTCCAGTAGTGTTCATGGTGAAGATCGTTATCGTGGTGGTCGTTTGCATGAAAAGGAATCAGAGAGGCAGCTCTGTTAATCTAGACTTTCTGACACTCACAATGAACAAGTTTCTAAACGATATGGAAAGAGAGAAGCCCATCAAGTTCACTTCTCAACAACTTCGCATTGCGACTGATAATTTCACCAACCTGTTGGGCCAAGGAGGTTTTGGTGCAGTTTATAAAGGGATATTTAGCAATGGAACCCTTGTGGCCGTTAAGGTTCTAAATGGGAGCTCAGACAAAAGAATCGAGGAACAATTCATGGCGGAAGTTAGTACAATCGGAAGAATCCATCACTTCAATTTGGTCCGTCTTTATGGATTTTGCTTTGAGAAACACCTCAGAGCACTTGTTTATGAGTACATGGGAAATGGATCGCTTGACAAGTACTTATTTCATAGCAACACGGTGCTCTTAGGATTTGAGAAGTTTCATGAAATTGCTGTTGGGACGGCGAGAGGGATCGCTTACTTGCATGAAGAATGTCAACAACAAATAATCCATTACGATATAAAACCTGAAAATATTCTTTTGGATGCAAACTTCTTTCCAAAAGTAGCTGATTTCGGTTTGGCCAAGTTGTGTAACAGGGACAATACTCACATAACCATGACAGGGGGGAGAGGGACTCCGGGTTATGCTGCACCAGAAGTTTGGCTACGGTTTTCTATAACACACAAATGTGACGTGTACAGCTTTGGAATGCTATTGTTTGAGATCATAGGAAGGAGAAGGAATCTGGACAACAATATTCAAGATAGCCAAGATTGGTTCCCGAGGTGGGTATGGAAGAAGTTTGAACCGGGGGAATTAGGAGAGCTGATGGTAGTCTGTGGAATAGAGGAGAAAGATAAAGAAAGGGCAGAGAGAATGGTAAAGGTAGCTCTGTGGTGTGTACAGTATATGCCCGAGGCAAGGCCCTTGATGAGTGTCGTGGTTAAAATGTTGGAAGGTGCAGTTGAGATTCCTACACCTTCAACTAACCCTTTCCAGCACTTGATGCCGGTCGCTCCGTACCCTACTGCACCTGTCTATGATACTTCAAATCCAACACATACAACAAACACTTTTGGTTCGGATCCTTCACAGACTGTCACTGAATATAGCGTCGTACGTGGTACTCCTATCATGAGGAGATATGAGATTGAAATAGCGTCTACCTAGGCCGGAACTGCATTTGCTCATCCTGTTGTGTAGATTACTGAGAATAAATGTATAATAGTGCATGTAAAGCAACTCCTTTTTCACGGCAAACTACTCCATAATAATTATTTCCATATAGCATCAAGTAAAATTTATATCATCCTGATGTGAATGTTCATAGAATTTATATCATACTGATTATTTCCATTCCTCGATTTACCGCATGAATCTGATAATCCATATGTACGATTGCGAAATGTTTAGGGTTAAACTATTTGGCAAGTATGTTAGATTAAATAGTCTCAAACAGTCATATCCATATAACAATACAAACTCTAGAAATTTGGATCAAACTAACTAGCAGTCTTACTTGTAGTTTCCAGTTACGTACCTATAGCTTTTGCTGTGGATTTAGTTTTGTACTAGAAAATAAAAACTACAGTATAAGTGCAGATAGAAACTCTCTCATATCCTTTCCTATGAGATATGTACTGCATGACCCAGTAGAAAATTATGCATACGAAAAACATCTCATAAACTTTGGAGCAAATGGAAATGTGCTTTCAAGCACTATTACAATATCTGCCAGCGGTGCATAAAGATACAGGAATTATACATACACACGTATGGTTTGGATAGCGGGGCCCATTCAGTCATGTATTTCAACTATCCAATCGTCTATATTTTAACTCATCGTTCATTGATCATCCTTGCAAATAATTATATAAATCAAAATCATTAAAGCATCTTCAGTGGATCGGAAAGTGAGACCCTAAAGTGTAGAGACTCACCAAATACTTAGTGTATGTACCCACATATAGGGACTGAAATGGTGGACCCCAATGGCAATTTGAGTGTTGTGATTTTTAATGGGCGATGTAGGAAGCCAGTAATTGCAAGCGACGCATAGGTTAATTAGTTGTTGATAACATACCCGGTTAGTCAGTTATCCACTATGTTTGCATTAAGAAAAATGTAATATTATCTATTCTAAAAGGAAAAACTAACCAAAAACCCAAGAAAACTTTTCTTTTGATCATCATGACAAAACTTTGCAAAAATACCAATCATACCCCTCAAGCATCAGTACAAGATTGTTCAGTATTTAGTAAAGTTCACATGACTTCACTAAAAGGAAGAGATATGATGACTGACACTTTCAAATTGCATTGGAATGCAAGAACCAAGGGGCAACGCATGCTACCTAAGCCAAAATGGATTCACATGGCCAAAAGGAAGGAGAGACAAGTCAACCAATTTTTAGCAACAATGTTGACAGCTTTCAGAAACAGTGTGTTGTCGCTATTCAAAAAATTGTAAATAATTGAAAAGTTATTTTGTTGTTGAGAAATTAGACTTTGTATCTAAGGGAGCTTTTCCTCTCATTCGGAACACATGAAACACACAGCAGACATACACCATACTCACACCAAACTTCAATCCCTTGATAATAAATGTGAGGAAATTGACTGGTAATTAACAGTATTACCATGTATATGTCTTCAGTTGTTGTTACTGAAAGTATTTAGTTGAAGTCTACTATTAATAAAAAAAAACATCTAAACAATGATATGTAATATGAGAGGAGAGATTTAATGGCATTACTATGTTTTTAGTTCGATTTAGTGATGCAAACTGTGAATTTTCTTTACATTTACTTTTATTTCAAGATATTGCACTCTTCTTTCAATCCTACAACATCGTGCGGGCATTCCTTGATAGTAGTTATATATCTTTGACTTTTAAGACTATAAACATCCTTTTTTTTTTTTTTTTTTTAAACAAAAAACCCTCCTTTTTCTTTTGTCATCGTTGAATTATGTGTGTGCATGTGTGAATTAAAAATAAGGCCATCTTAAATTATGTAGCAATGTATCTTTTTTCAACTAAGTATTAAGTTAATGTTTTGTTGATTAGGGATTGATTCAATGTATTTCTTTTCAATAATAGTAAGCTAATGTCATCTTTTTGTGTCTCTGATTATTCTTATATTTTCTATTTTGACCTAGTTTAATTATAAAATAAAAATGAGATTAAACATCACATCATAGTCCGGTTCCGTCGTAGCACGATATTGTCCGCTTTGGGCCCAGCTCGCACGGATTTGTTCTTGGGTTTCAGCACGAGAACTTCCTAATGGGGTCACCCATCCTAGGACCATTCTCGTCCAAACTTACTTAACTTCGGAGTTCTTTTGGGATCCAGAGCCAGTGAGTTCGCAAAAGGTCTTGAGCTATAGGGAGGGGAGTATATACATATAAGGCACATCACCCATTCTTTGTTGGTTGACGTGGAATCTCACACACTACAATATATGAACCCTAGGCTTTTTATCATTATGTGCCCCACTACTTACCTAATCAATTTGCAAGGACATAATCTAATAATGAAGTAATTCTTGTGAAGAAAAAATTTGGTATCGGAATTTGTTTTTTATTTGATTAAAATGTTCACAAAAATATTTTACGAGAACATAATGCTAAACTAATTCAAAAAATGTTAACATAAACAAAAAATGTGCACAGTATCAAATTATCACATAAAATCGTACAAACTTTAAATTTAGAGACTCACTTTCCGATCCATCGGAGATTCATTTTGTTTCTGTATTTATTTTATACCATTTTATATGATGGCTATCCCTATTTAAGGACTCTACTGTAGATGCTCTTATATGCACGCATTTTTATTTTTCCTATGAGTTATGTATTGCATGACCCAATAGAAACATGGGAAGTACCCCAAAATGGGACAATTTCTTAATCTTGGGATAGAAATAGGACAAACCGGCCATGCACAAGCCATGCATGCCATGCACAAGCCACGCATGCCATGCACAAGCCATGCACAAAACTGAAATTACTAAAATACCCACATATAAATACTAAAAAGCAAAAGCCCATTGCATTACTTTCTCATTTGGACGAGAGATGTCGAGAGAGCTTTGTGAGTTATGGGCTTCTGGGTTGAGCTATCTCTGTGCTTTGATTTCGAAGAGAGGGAAGTCCAAAGAGAGGTGAGAATACTGAGCTGGGTTTTGGATTGACCTTATAGCTCTGATTTCGAATGAAAGGATGCGAGAGAGAGGTGAGAAGAGTGAGCTGGTTTTTGAACCATATTTTTTGTTTTGGCCAGAAAGTTCCATTTTTTCCAATGACTGAAGCTTCAGCAAGCATAGGAAGGTAGGGTGTTTAGTTCAAAGTTCATTCATCAATGATTTATGGAATAAATGGGTTGTTTGTAAGATGAATTAATACTTAGAAGTTAAATTAGGGTTTGTGTTTCATGTTAAGGCCTATGGGTTGTGGAATAAATTTCAAGTTTTGACGTGCTACTAAATTGGGATGGAACAATTTATGGTTCAAGTATTCAATTGCAGAAATTTGTGAATTTTTTTTTGTAATGTGCATGTGGTGTGCATATGGTGTGCATGGCTACATCTTAATATGAGAAGCGGGAATGTTCACTAGTTATGATGCACATATGTTGTGCCCTGGAATTCAGCGAGTATGACCACAACATAGTTGGCCTCAACGATAAACAAAATTAAGAAAAAGCTTAAAGGACGTTAAGGATCATGCGTGTCCATGAAATAACGACAACGAGTATCATGTTTTCCACATGCATGGTTAAGCGGTGATTGATATACGTAACAAGACTTTTCAAACTACCACTGTAACCTTATATACATAACAATTATGTTTTAATTGTATCCACTATACAAATAGGTTGCCTTTAAAGTTTCTTATTAATGCGAAAAAAGCTCGTTGTTCGGTCTTCAGTTCTGTGCATATCATGTGCATGCACTATACATATGATGTGCATATGGTGTACATATAGTGTATATGGACAGGTGACGACGTCATTTTTCTGATTTTGAAGAGAGCGTTGTGAGCTCTAGGTTTTTGGATTGTCTCAGATCTGTGAGCATATAATGTGCATGTCGTGTATATACAGTGAGCGAATCCTGAAAAATTCATCCAACAAAACACCAACATTTAATGATTGGGCTTTGTTCCCGCCCTTGATGCGGGTCCAGTGGTGGTGGTCTCGAGCCTCAATTGTTTGTCTTGTTATTGCCAAAAAATGGCTAGAAAATTCACAGCCTGTTCTAGTTTTGGTCCCAACGATCAAGGATAAGATTTGTTACAAGGCTAGGTGTTTTTGGACTCGTGAGGACAAGATGAAATTAATGGTGGCTTCAATTTGGACGGTGTTGGACGGGACGACTGTGCACTGTGTGTGCACAGTGAAAAGGGAGAGAGAGTGCGTCAGGGAGAAAGAGAGAGTAAGGGGAGAAATCAGAAAATGGGAGGAAATAATCCATTTATATACAAGGGCAATTAAGTCATTTTAAGGTGTAAGAAAATCATATTTCTGTCCAAATGTTTGCATGCCATGTGCATATTTGAAATGTCCTATTTCTGTCCCAAGATTAAGGAATTGTCCTATTTATGGGAATTTCCCTAGAAAATTATGAATATAAAAAACATCTCATAAACTTTGGAGCAAATAGAAATGTCTGGCAGTGCATACAGATACAGGAAATACATAAACATACAATCCACGGGCGCTAACGTGTTGGCGTACTTGTTTAATTGAACATTTGAAACCCCACGCGGTTTCACTAAAGGACAAGGATTGTTTGCCCTCCCACTTCCAGTGCCCTTCTTTTTGTGTGGTCACAGTTAAGCCACGTCAACATTTTATATTACTATTCATTTTATCTTATTATTTCTATAAAAAAAACAATATAAAATGTTGACGCGGTTTAACCGTGACCACACAAAATAGGAGGGCACGAGAGGGCAAACAATCCTTTTCCTTCACTAAATCAAAGTTGTACAAGTCTGGTCAAAGAATTATTATCTAATCAAGTAATTTTATGCGTGTTTGTGTGATCCAAATTAAGGCTGGTATTGCACCAATGTTGTTGACACTTTTTTTTTCTTTTCTTTTTAAATGATATGATCTACAATAAGGGGCAAATGAGTGAGCTAAGTCTCACAATGGGTTAATAATAATGTGATTCGAATTCGCTTTTGGCTATAATCGAACCTAAGACTTCTCACTTATAAGTGAAAAAGAATATCACTAGTTCGTGGTATTACCCTAGTCTAAAGTA